CTTCACCCTTTCACCCACAATTCATCATCTCATTCCGACCGATATACGATATCTAATTTATCAACATATGCCCAATCTAAGCAGCCCCACACATGTGCGAGCAATTAGGCAATAGAACAGTCGCTAACACAAACACCTTCTGATAGATGACACTCTAAATGTAAGGCCGAACCATGGCAAACATGACTCAAGGAACTGCAGTATCAATCAGATGAGCAGTGGCCTTTACTGTCACCTCCATTGATTAAACACATTGTTTGGAGTATTTGAAATGTGTTGCCATACTGAAGTCTGTAGACGATTGTGCTGTTTACTGTGTAGGTTCAGAGGGGTGACAATTCCTCTCACAAATGATACACTAGGTCACAAAAAAGAGTATTAGGAACATATTGCAGACAGAATAAGGGGTCACAGTCAATGTGTGTCTATATTTAAACCATATGTAAAAATATTTTGTCTATAGCATCCACAAAGGATCTGCAGAACAAGACCTTGTTGCTCAGAAGACTTAATGGAGTTCTCAGTTGTGTTTTATTTGTGTATCAACTTTACTGTCAACTTTTGGACAGATAGGAAAGACTGAGAAAAATGTTGGCATGCACTACAGTAAGAATTATAGAGCTATAACATTAGAATAGCCTAGATAAATTTGTCTTCTGATGAAAAATGTTTGAGTTTTTATTGAAATTGAAGCGTTTGAATGCAGACGTGTAAATTTGAGCGCATTTTTAAGATGTATGTGGTGAGGTCTTTTTCTCGGAAGAAAAACTTGAGATGCAGGAGACTTAAAGTGAAAGGCTCAATTTTATCTTACTAGAAAAACAATTAAGGTTTAAATATATCTTGAGTAGTTCAAAGGTTTGGTTCTGTACGATTAAAAAAAATGTCTTTGAAAGTTTTTTTTTTTTATGTGCAAAGCAGCATTTATTTCATGAAAGATACAATATATTATAAAATAAAAAGTAATAATAAATAAAAAATACAATAATATTATGAAATATTATTGCAATTTAAAATATGTTATATATTTTAATATATTTTAAAATGTAATTTATTTCTGTGATGAAAATCCAAATTTTCAGCATCATTACTCTAGTCTTCAGTGTCACATGATCCTTCAGAAATCATTCAAATATGCTGATTTGTGACTCAAGAAACATTTCTTATTATTATTAATGCTGGGAACAACTGTGCAGCTTAATATCTTTTTGGAAACCATAATACATGTTTTCTCTCTCTCTCTCTTCAGGATTATTTGATGAATAGGGAGTTCAAAAGAACCACATTTATTTGCAATATAAATCTTTTGTAACATTTTAAATTCCTTTACTGTCTTGTCATATATAGTATATATATATATATATATATATATATAGTGTGCATGTTAAAACGTTAGTTGCAACAAGAACAACCTAACCAATTTTTTAATAAAATAATATACACTAGAACCAAACAAATCTCAAAATAAACACCGAAATGGCTCAATTAAAAGCACGACAGACACTAACTCCAGTGTGTGAGGCTGTCAGATCCAAGAAAGAAAAGTGGAAATAAAGTTGTCAGGTGAAAAAACCTGGACCGACATGTGTCACTTTAATTCCAGCGCATCTGGCCGATGGTTGAGGTCCACTGTCCAGCACGACTGTCCGAATTGAGTTCCTTCTGATCTTAATAAAAGTGAAAATCCTTCAGCTCCACAGCTGGGGACCCTCTGCAGCGTGCAATCCTGAATCTGACATTTTTTTTTTCTTTTTCTGGGGGACACTTCACTTTATGGCACACTCGCTGTTGTGCAATGAATTTAATGGGGGTTCTGATTGGTGGACATCGAAGATGACATCATTTTAATGATACTTTAATGTTATTTCGCCATTTTTTACATCCTTCAATCAGCAAAAGCTTAGTCTGTTTTCCTTCTTGAACATTAGAAGACCTGCTTTTGCTCATCTTATAGGGAGAGGTTTAACGTTGATCAGCTTCCCGGGACTTGAAAGAGAGAATGCACAGAACTCCAGGCATGTGGAACAATCAGTGTTAGGAGCAAGATAGCTCTCCCGTTGGCCCCGTTCTCAACTTTGACCCCTGACCTCTTGGCACACGCGCTGCTGTAAATAAAGCTGAAGAGAGGCCTCCCCACCTAATTTCCTTTGGCCTCAAATTTAAACACCAATCCTTCTGACTGTTCTGTAACCAGGGGATAAACATCTCCTCACGTGGACCAGGTTCTCACCACGACCACTCAAGAACTCCAGAGAGAGGAGATAGGCTATACACAATAGAAATTGTGTTTGACAAGTTAAATTCAGCGGGTCCGGACAAGTCCTTGGCTGTAGTAAAAGTGAGATGTAAACTACTGCTGAAATGAGGAGGGGTGTACGGAATTGCTACTGCCATGACAAGCTGATTCGTAAAATCATTATTGCCATAATTCAGTTACAGACTGTGATTTCATGGTTTAAGATGTTATTGCACCTAGTTGCACCAGTTGTGATTACATTTATGGCGTGATGACACACCATTAGAGACCATCGCTTTTGTTACATTCGTATGATTCACTTCAGTTCAGTTTTAACAGCAGGACATGGTTCCAAATCAATGCTGAGGGAAACCAGCCAGAGAGGAAACCCCCAGAAAATCACCACAAATCTGTGTGCCAAAATAAAGAAGAGAAAATATTACGTTCTAGTAAATATAATGACAAATAAGCCCACGAAAAGTATTTTAAATAAGCTATTTTTAGCATATATATATATATATATATATATATATAGGCAATATATACATAGGCAATATATAAGGCATATTTATTAATTTACTTATATTAAGTCCGTTTCGTATTTTTAGACAGGCTCACTACAAGACATTTAAATAAATATTAGCTGGGTGTGGATGGTTGGCTTCATTTTATGTTGTATCTTTTTACGTTATGTTGCTCAGTGTGGGAAGGATGACCCATATTTCATTAAACTGCTGTGCTCTTATTTCCGGCAGCTTTCACAACGAATTTATCTCTGACCAAGATATACACACTCAGCATTTGCGATATCTATATCAACACTGGCTGTGCTCGAGATAATAATGCAGCTTTAAACTACAGTTTTTACATTCCAGATGTAAAGTTTTATTTTACAGAAACACATATAAGCTTCATATCCTTACGAAAACATTTTTATAAGCAGCTAAATATTCGCTATTTATGATTTAAAACAGCAAGGACAATTCAATGTTTGGTTTAATAGAAATTTAAGAAGGTTTATGAGGTGAAGCTCATTTTATAATACCCAGTCGCCACATGTTTCGTCCTTGTTTCCCAACAGAATATAGCCTACTTCCTGTACATATAGGCTATTTTATGCCGTCCTAAACGAATTGTGCACTAAAACTAGCCTTTTGTTTTCAAACTAGCTTAGGCTATATCTGGATACGTTCAGCAGTCGACATAAAATAAAAAAGAAAGAGAAACCAAACGGATTGGAAGGTCTTATTAAAATAATTCCATTATCGAAAGGAATGAGATGAAAACGCAAGGGCATTATTGCAGGTATTGTTGTGCCTGTGGCTTCTCCTCCAGCAGCGTAATTCTCCTCATCAATACTGCAGTGAGATCGTTACGCCGCTGACATTGATAAATGACCACCAAACTACAGCATTTTCTCACCAGTATACTGCAGGCTAGAGAAACACAAACTGGAGGTCGAAATAAGCAGGGAAACGTCTGCAGGAGCAGTCTTTAGCTAAGATATCAAACAGCATGAGAAAAACCATTTGAAAATGTCACCGCGAAATTGCGTTTAAAAGATGCTGGAGATGAAGAAGTGCGCGGGGTTTGTGTTTCTGAAAAATTACACGCGGTACAGTCGCCTGATTTGGAAATATCAAATTAATGTGATTTATTTCTGCACATATTGCCTCAAACATTTTACAATAGAGCTCTACACAAATTTTAATACCTTCTTAGATGGTTTTAGGGAGTACGGTTATGAAATTATTATTTTACTCTTTCTTATGCCCCTTTCAGTAGACGGTATTTATGCAGTATTAAAATTCTCCTGTTTTTTTAGCCTATAGTGATTTATTTCATAATTGTTTGATGCACACGTCTGATATTTACACATCTAAAGTCATTTTTGAGATGACTAGGTTCGCGTTTCATCTTTCTTTCCTTTTTTTTTTAACGGACAAATTATGTAATGGTTATATAAATACGTTTCATTTTATCCGCAAAATAAAAATTGTTATCTATAGCCAAAATAGAAGTTAACTGCATGTCGCGTCAGTATCGATTCAATGCACGAAATAACATTCAACGCAAGAGATTTAACATGTTGAAAATGAAGCATTTATTACAAGAATTCGACTCATGTGTAGAAATACTTTACTGCTTTAAAAGACTCCTAAAAGGAAAATGGACAGAGCGGGAGGATCGATCAAACTTATCAGTACATCAACAAACATATAATCGACTTTTTCCATAGAGAAAAGCAAGAGTGAGAACGGACCAAAACGTACAACAATATCCCATCTCCATTTTTAAAGGATCTCGACTGAATGCTTATTTGACATTGATGTGTTTTACAAATAACATTTACATAATTATGTACAATGGAACATCTCTAGTGGTTTAAAAACTCCTCCAGGCATATTTAGCCTTACAAGAGCACTGTTGCTCTCCAAATCGACAAATAAACGCACAGCTCATTTCCTAAGCGATGCTTTTCAAAACATCTCATGTGGGGAAGACTTTGTGGTTTCACATACTGGAATTTGTGTCAGATGTGTGCCATAATGATCCCATCAAGTGGTTTCATTTCCTTCAATCTTTGTAGAATCATAAATGCAAAGGTCTAAATACTAGTCAATGACACAAACCCAAACATAGAATATTTCCCAAAAGAAAAAAAAGAAAAAACTCATCATACACTCACATTTCAGTTCTTGAGGGCTTTTAGCATCTTTTACTATATTCCACCGTTAAATGTGTTTAATATGAGCGTGTGCACTTCATATGGAATATTTGCGTCTGGGGCAGCCACTCTATGGTTGAGCAAAAGTGCACAAATGGTGTGGTCCCCGTGCTTCTTGACAGTATAACAAGAATAAATAAATAATTTAAAAAGAAAAGATCTCCAATTGTCTTTTCAGAAGTCTCTCTTTTGGCACAAATGCTTCAAGTCTGTTTTTGTAATGTTGGTGCTCCTGCAGACAGTCCTTTGGCTGGAGATATGATGGCCAGATGATGAGGGGTCCGTGAGAGATTTGGGAGGTCTCGTGAAGACAGGAGGTGATCGGACAGGGGCGTGATCAGGTGAAGATGAATGAAGATGACTCCTCATGCCTCTGGCCAGCACAGGGACTATTCCTGAGGCCACCATCAAAACCTAAAACACAGAGTGAAAAATACAATATTAAGAGATTTATTCACTAACATCTACATTCTGAAAGCATAAAAAGGAATATTCTGGGTATGTGCTTATATATATATATATATATATATATATATATATACAGAAAAAAGAAAGTGCTTTTTATGAAATTATAAACTTCATATTTCATATTTTAAATTCTGCAAAAAACTGGCCAAATTCACAATAAAGGTTGCAGGGGGAGGGGGGTTCACTGTGATGCCATTTTGGAAACATTTTTCTTCCTAAAATCACCCCCTTTTTATCTAAATAACCCTTTTTTCCACTTTACAGAGCCTTTCATGCAATGGAAAGATTCAGTGATGTTAAAAGTTCTTTATGGAACCATTAATTCAAATAAAGAACCTTACTTTTTAAGAGCGTACATGCCTTACTGTATCCTCAATTTTTCCTTTATTTGTATTCATTTTTAAAGAAATGAATTTTTTTTTGTGATTATCAACCACAAATGCTGCCGATTAAACTTAACTTGTACCCAATTCAAAATATTCCTTTGAAAAAGCATACACCTGCCTCTAAAATCATAAATGTGTCTCTATCCGCTTTACGCAGGAAAACAGATCTTCATAATGATCCCAACGATCCACCAGCATATGGTGTTTAACCAGAGCGAATTAAGGACGGGGAAACATTCCTCTAAATGACGCAATTACAGTAACGACTCGATGATAATTCAATCAAAAAAAGGTAGGATTAAATAGTCTGGAAATTATTTAGTCTGCGTGTATCTTGCAAGCCGGAGCTCCTGAGATCTCTATGTGTCTGAGGCTTCGGTGGGGGGTGTTAACCTCCCCTCACCTCCCCGCTCCTCTCCCTTCATTAGCAGAGGCTGAGGTTGTTATTTGAGAGGAAAGGGCTGTGTTGGCACGATTGGAGAACTGGATGCGGTGCCTATTTACATATAAAGAGCTCTATTAATCAAGGTAAGTGTCATTATGGAGGGGCTCATTGGGCAGCACAGTGTGGGTATTAAATAAAATTCTCCATGCCAGGCCGCCCGCGGCGAGCGATACGTCTTGATTTGTGGACTGTCAGAGACAGGCAGCGAAGATGGAGCCGGGGAAAGAAGGTGCGTGCACGTGTGTGTGTGTGAGGGGGGGTCGTCAGAGAGCAAATTGCCACCATAATCAGATTTCACACGCCGAGGGAAAGGAGAAAGAGAGGGGATGTTCTAAGTACCAAAGCGTTTCCTTACGTTTATTGTTTGGGAAGCGGGGAGGCGTTTACATGTAGTGCCACTGTCCATCCATACCCATGTTCATACCCATTCCTCCCATGGGACCTGCGAGACGGAGACAGAAAATGAAAGAACAATAAAACACATGCAAATGCTTTCAGCATTTTTATAACAGCACTAAAAATGACTAACGTGCGATTATAATCAAAGTGCAACATACCGCTAGGCCGGAGACCCATGTGTTGTTGGCCGTCAAGCACAAAGCCGCCCATAGGCTGACCATCAGGGCTGTAAGCGGTTCCTTGAGTTACTAAAAACACAACATATATGTGATACATGCACAAATTGTGTATATAGTGATTGTAAAGATGGTAAAAAATAAGCCATCACTTTACCTGCTCTGTTAGACTGATCAATCATGGGCTGCACGATTCTTCTTCGAGCATTGATAAACCTGTCAAAGAGAAGACAGGGAACACATTTACTAAATCTATTTATATTACTGACCGCCCACAGTATATTTTACTCTTATTTAAACACTCTGGACTTTTACTACTGTGAGCTTTTTGCTATGATTTACTGCAAAATATCCCTTAATGCAGTGCGATTTCTCCTGGGCCTTTGGGTTAATGGACCTGTCAAGAGTCCACAAAAAAGCTAATGTACTGTTTTAGCGCCAGACTAAAGAAATAGTCTAATTTATAATGTAAACAAGCAGAGGTTTTGTTAATAAAGAGATTTTAACACCTTTTACAAATTGCGTGTGAGAAACATTCCGTTTAACGGTGAATTCTATAGTAGGAAATGATAAAAACAAATAGAATTATTTGATTTGTAGTGTATTTTTAATTTCCTCAGCAGTCTAAAGATAACCTCTGTTTATAAGACTTGCTTTAATTGTGCTTCTTGCTGCAATATATTAGCGAATCAAGTAAAGGGGTCATTGCTCAATAAATATTCAATTGATATAGCATTGGCCTAGTAGCCTCAGGCTATGATTAGCCTAACTGCTTTTCAGACACTAATATGCTTCAGCAGCCCGTAACAGAGAGGTAGGAAATGCCCCTGACATGCACTGGGGGAAGGAATTACTCATAGACAATGAGTCTTAGCCAAATGTTTGTGAACACCTTATTTTGTTGCAGTAAACACATAATAGCATATGTTGAAATTGAAAACAAAGCTAAAAAGAGTAAAATAATATAAAAATTAAAACCAGCTCAAAAATATATTGTAAAGTCAAATTTTTCTGATGTCTGTTGGCAATGATTATAGATATCAAAGTTGTCTGCTAAAGAATAGTGTTGATTGTAGTAGTGTATGCTATCCAAAATTAATGTTAATATGACAGTATATGTTATAAATTAAGAAAACATAATTAAATTATCTAAATTGTATGGGGTAAATGCATACAGAATTAAAACTCATACATAATTAAAACTTAATTAATACTGAAATGTCATGAAAAAGAAAAATAAACTAAATGTAAAACTTAATTCTGAAAATAAAGTAAAATATATATTAAAGTCAACATTCTTCTGATGTATTTAGGCAGAGATATCAATGTTGTCTGAGTATGCTATCAAAAATTAAAACCTTTTAAGTATATACGTTATATGGTTTAAAATGCATAAATAATTTAAAAATATAGATACAAATGTCATGTAAGAGGGAAAAAAGTCTAGATCTGCAACTTAAAACGTAAATTTAAACTTAAATTTAAAACTTAAAATTTAAAATTCTTATGATTTATATTGGCAATGATAATAGATACCATTTGTCTGTTTAAGAATATTGTTGATTTGTAGCCATATGGAATTATGCTATCAAAATAAATCCCAACCAAATATATTTAAAGGGTCCTCTCAATCTGCAATCCTCCATATCATACATTCACATTCTAAAAATGAGACTGAGTGTCACATTTGTGTAATTCAATAACATCTTTTACAAACAAGATGGTTACACAATGAATAAACGTTCAGGAGAACTCTGGTGACCGAACAGCATTCCGGAATACTCCAACATAACATTTGACAACTTTTCGACTAGAGAAAAGTCCCTCTGAGACCCTGGGCAAACCTCATCATTGCTCCTATTCTTACTTTTATTTGTCTCATTGGGGCTTTGAACAGCGTCTAATAATAGTGTGAGAAATCAGGATCACCGGACTTGAAATGGAAATGTTAGAGATCCCTAACCCTGACTTCTAAGTGCTGAGAGGTCAAGCTGGCAAGTCAAAAGTCAAAGGTCAAAGGTTACTCACCAGTTATTCACTTGTAAGATGGTGAGGCCTGTATCCTGCGCTAGCTGCTTCTTCTGCTCTTCGGATGGGTAGGGGTGCTGCAAGATAGAATCAACAAGAAAAATTATATTAATGTGTAAAAAACCTCCGCAGTTAATAACACTGCTGTCCGATGATCCATAAAGCGATAATGAATGGAACATGGAAATGTCTTCATTTTTTACAGTAAGTTGTGTATTTCTCCTCGCAGTCTCCATCAATAAAGCAAATCAAGATGGCCTGACTTTTTCTTAAAAACTAATCTGTTTAAATGACTAATGACCTCAAGCATCAAGTCTACCCGCCCCATGTGAGACTGCAGGCAAAAACGTGGATCCCATATGACTCTTTCAGGGAATTACATCATTATGTATGATAGACTTCTCAGATGCAGCCCCGAGTTCGAGAATTTCCCTGCGTCTTATTGGCTGAGCGCTCGTGGTTTTGTTTGACATTATTTGACATTACTTGACAAATGATCGAGTGGGTGTGAAAGAGAGACAATGGAGAGTTTTGTTTAGGGTTGAATAGGGCTTGGCCCTTGGTGGCCCCACGGTGGCCCCTGGCCCCTGATCCTCTTGCTCTCACTGTGAGTGTAGAGGGAGGGCAGCAGATGGCAGGCAGGGGTGAATGTATAGACAGCGCAGGGTTGTGGGTGTGCACCAATTTTGGCACTGTCACGGCCTCACCTCCCGTGGTCAGTGGTGAGGGATGAGTCCTGTTACATGTCTCGTTCCCTCTCTCTCACACACTGACAGAGATTTCCCTGCTCACCTCCTGGCTTGCTCGCTGTCATTGTGCTGATGAATGACTGTAAGCTCCGCCCCTTTTCTACACAACCCAAGTGACGGTCGACTGCGAGCTGTGCTCTGGGATCCATCTTTAAACTCTTATCACAAAGCTCTCAGCAGGTTGCACTGCGATTGTTCGCTAAAGTTTAGCGAGGAGCCTACGCGCTCAAAAGATTGAAGCAAGCTCGTTTTCAAAGAATCACTCATATTTGCATGAATTCCACTTATGTCTATTAAGAAGCCCCCTCCTCGTCTCCATTTGCATGCCAAAGGAGATCTCTCTATCTCGTCCCAGTGCAACTAACAGTTATAACTGTAATGTTCCACTGAATCTTAATGTTCTACCTTTCTTTAAGATTGGCAGCACAGGGGGTCTTTATCGCGGACCTCTGAATAGGTCACAAAAGATGGAGGCTTAGACCATATGTAAGAGCCCCCGCATCTCAAACGTCGCACACTGGCTCAAAGTAGAACCCGACAAAACGTAATCCTGCTGCTTTTATTCAGCCCCGACCCCAAATGAATGCATGGGTGTTGCAATGGGGGCCATTCAGAGGCCAAAGTCCCCTCTAACACTTTTTTTTTTGTCAGAGGACACATCCTGCAATGGGAAACACTTTTGCTTCACAAATCGCTCTGAAAAGGGTCTGGGAACAGAGAGAGGATAATTCAATTAGGCTCTCTTTTTTATCTCTAAACTCTAAAGGTGGGTAAAAGGGAAAGGGTTACTATGTGTACAGGACCTGTGTAGCCCTTAGAAAGTGCTGGATTTCTGAAAGAGAATGGAAAACAGGAAGACGCAAGAGAATGGTGGGAATTCGAGGAGGTGGACCGGTGAAAATGTGTCGAAATTCGAGGAGGTTGAGAATGCCACAAATCAACCAAAAACCAGCAAGTTTTGGGGAAACGTACTCAACCCCTGGGCGAATAGGGCCCTTGGTTTTGACAAGCAAAATAGATGGGAGGGCCGAGAGACAGATAATAACACACCCTGCTAGTTTTAATGCAGTTTGGATGCAGGTCGCTGAGCTGAGAACAGTGGAATTGAGCTAATTCGCCAAGAGACGCAGTTGGACACTCTGGCCCGTTTTCCAAAGGCTTTCAACTTCCGACCGGAAGATCTGAGAGCGTCTTACCGTGAGATGCTGGAAGAGCCACGCCCGCATTATGTTGGTCGCCACTTTGGGGAAGATTCCTCTCTTCTTCTGCCGTTTCTTGTCTTGGTCGTCCTCGTCCCCTGTTCCCGGAGATGCCAAGCTGTTATCCAAGCCATCTCCTGATAAACAACAGCGTGAAAGCAGGGCGAGAGAGAGAAAGCAAAAGAAGAAAGTCACTTTAATGAGATAAAACATCACCTTCAGTTGTTTATTCAGACCGATCACCAGTGCCACTCACAAACACGATGTGAAAGAGCCACACAGGGGGGGGCTTGTTTTGATTAGCAACAGTAACACAAGGACCGCAGTGAGCAGGAGTATCCATGCAGTGAGAGGGAACGCTAATCAACAGAGCGAGATCTCTCCCACTCTCTCTCGCTGTCTCAATGTCAGAGATCTCGAGGAAAGCTCTGCACCAACCCCAGTGCTATTAATTCAATGTGAGTTCTGTCTTTGACATAGGGTAATGAATGTCCAGGCTCTATGCTTGAATGGGGAATGGAGACTTGGCACTGCAAAGAGAATATCTGATCTGAATTAGCACTCAAAATAAAGTCGAAAAAACTTGGAAAAACATAAATAAAGCAAAGCCTGTTAGCGGTTGTTGAGAAAACCGTGTTAGACTTTAGAAGTTAGTAACTGGTATACCGTGCAGGGACAGAACATATGATGCTAAACCGCTAATTTACCGTTTACAGTAGCCTCACTGCAAGACGGAACTAAGTTTAGTTAGTGGTCACCAGTGTTGGGCAGTAACGCATTACTTAGTAATTACTGTAATACTGTAATTTGATTACTTTTTTAGTAACGGAGTAATTTAACGCGTTATAATTTTCAAAATAGTAATTAGAGTATAGTTACAAGCCGATGTCTCTATACGTTACTGCCGTGTTACATTGCTGACAGAATGCAGTGATTTATAATCTAGATCGTAAAAAGGATGTCGAGTCGAGGCCCAGTGGATTAGAGACCTGCTCCCGCGAGACCCGACGCAACAGAGTGCGGCACAGGACAAGACTTGATAGGCGAGTGCAGAGTCTCGTGTGTGTGCGGGATGCGGGAGAATAAAATGATTCACGGCACTCCTGCAAAATAGAAATATCTAAACATTAAATTTAAAAACAACAGTGTTCTGTGAATGTTGATGCTTTATTAACAAATATTTATCGGGAGCGTTTATGCTGGGATTTCATGTAAATTTCATGGATGTAGCCACAGAAAAAAGTAACGTAACTAGTAATGTAACTAATTACTTTTGAAATAAAGTAATCAGTAACGTGATTACTTTTAAAAGGAGTAATCAGTAATCAGTAATTTAATTACATTTTCAGAGTAACTTGCCCAACACTGGTGGTCACGTACAAACACTGCAGCTAAATACAGTCATCATTTCCTTTCAAAACGCCTGTTCTAAACATACACAGAATATGATTAAAAGCTTATTTTAGTTATTTACTGAAGCTCATGCGATCTTTGGGAATCGAACCTTTGACCACAATGTTGTTAGCACTATATATTTTATAGCACTTTTAATTGTGTCCGAGTCCCCGGATCCGCCATGGCACCCCGAACGGGTATCGCTCTGGAGGCCCACTGTCCCGTATCCGTCCTGAGGGACCTCCAGAGTGCCCACCCCCCCTCCCCATTGAGGTTCCTTGGTGCAAATAAAGTCTTGTCAACATATTCTCCAGCGTCTCCTCGTCCCTCGTGTGTGTGTGCAACGTGACGGCTGAAGTGATTGCTTAACTACTTTTAACTATGTTTATTTATTTTACATTATGTCAAATGAGAGAAGTCGAAGCATTCATAAAAATACTACTTTCTAACTTGTAAATGAGAGTTTGATAATACGTGATTTTTTTTTTTTTAACTATTCGAAAACGCGCAATTACGGTAATTCCGACATGATGTGAATAAGGCATTATACTGTAAGATCAATTGATGCTTAACAAACAATGCTTTTTGTGCTGTGAGCTCTCTGATAACATCAAGCCTGCTTTCATTCCATTACCATCCAATCTAGTTTAAGATCAGAGCCAGGCAGGAGGCCGCTTTTAAACTAAGGTTTCCGTCTTGTCCTCCTCCCCACCCTCCTTTCTCTTTCTTTCTTTCCATCCCTCTCTCCCGCTTCCATTAACTGTGCATCAGGCAAGATGATTTACTTTTAACAGTCATGCTTATTTTTCTTGCCCTGAGGGTAGAGATGCCTTGAAAGGCGCTAATCGCTTCTGACTGTTCCCTGGCAACTTGGCCCATGCAGCCTGTGTGACTGCACTCTCTTTAAAGGCTGCTGCTCTCTGCAGCTCCCTGAGCCCTACCTCACTCCCCGAACCCGGAGTCTGCACGCGCAGCGCAGAGGGGGGCCAGAGCAGCCTGGAGGAAGGCTGGAGTAAGCCCTCGGGCTGTTTAGGGAAAAACAGCACCCTAAGACATGGAGAAGAGGAGGCTTCTAGCTTCCTTTTTTTTCACTTTCCCTCATACGTATAAAGCAAAACTTCTGAAGGGGTTGTGCGGAGATATGCATATAAAACAAGTCGAATTTTTAGACCGGTTTCCCACATCCTTCAAGCTGACCCTGACGGCATCCGTGTCACATCACGGTACCTTCAGCGTCCGAGAGATGACAAGGTCCAAAGCTAAAACGCTCTGCGTTGTTCTGATGCTGATAATTAGATGAACTGGAGATAGATGAATGTCCCGGAGACAAAGGGGCCCGGCGCAAACTAGCCGGGTCTGATGACTGCCACCCCGCACGCATCACAGAATAAATCCTGTTTGCTTGCTTAATGAGCTCACCATGACCTCAATCTATCACGGACTATACTTCTACAAAGGGGCCATAATTCTGACTACTGGACGCAACAGACTGGATAATTACTGGACGAACGCAGATGATTTTGTTCTCGCTAATCGTTTCGCTTAAAGCATATTGATTAGATGCTCTTATCCTCTTGTCCCCCGTGGCCATGATATGATCTGGAGGACCACGGGATTGGACCACAGTTGGGTGGTATTGACGGCTAAAACGCAGAGGCATCGGCTCTTGACACTTGTTGTTGGTCCACTCCGCTTCATGCTGGGATTTAGCCTCCACTGAAGGTTCAGATATAGATGTAAACATCCTGTCTCAGCCTGTGTCTTTCAGCAGCCTTCGAGGTGAACACTGGCCTGGAATGTCCTGCAGCTTCCCTTTGTTCCCTTTCGGCCTTTGTGATGGACATTCCTAGGCTCTGCATTCCCACCAACACGCACATGTTTAGGATAGCTGTGGAAAACCCCCCACGACCATCCCAAACTCACCCTGAGGTGAGTCAGCAGTTCTTAAAAACATTCGGGAGCACCTCTCTTTCCTTCTTAAGTTAGCATGAAGGTTTCTCAACAAGAGTAACTTCTACTGATGTGCAGGCAACAAAGGGACCCCCCTACAAGAGACAGGTGCTTTGAAGAGTCCCGGTAATCCTTTGGACTCGAGTTTGGGTGACTGATGTAACACCCCCCGTTCACTTGTAATGGAAAAGGTGTTTGCTTTACCGATCTCTTGAATGATAAAGGGAGGAACACCGATCCAAAGTGGCTCCTGGAGGAGCAGCAGGTAGATGTCCCTGATCCTAACCCAAGCTCTGCCTCTGATCACCCCAGATATCAACCCTCTATTGTGACCGGTATTTGAAGTGCTCTGTCCTTCAGGCCGGCAGGGGTCATTCCTCTTCCCCTTCTTCAGCGCATGCTCTTTGGGGTCAAAAGGCCGTGGGCCTTGGATGTCCCCCCACTGTTGTTTAAAAAAAGCCTGGTGTGGGGAAAATGCCGCCACCCTGATGCTTTTCTCTCTTTTATACCGAGTAGCATTGCAGAAACACTACTGGCATTGCTGCTATCCCAAACATTTTAAAGATGTCTTTCACACTGAGGCTGAATTGTCAAAGAATTACAATCTGGCCGCTGGTTTTTGGTTCTGGTTTCTCTTGTCTTGCAGAACATCCTGCTTTGTGCTGCATAATGGTCAGGCTATTGATGTCTGCTGGTTAAAAGGAGGTGAGAACCCTGAAGGCTATTTTAACTGGAGCAATTATACAAAAACAGGTCGTAAAAAAAATATAATAATTAAATAAAAATTCCCCCAAAAGGTAAACAGCGTTAAAGGACAATAAATATGGAGTGGCAGGTCGCAATATAAATTAAGAAAAAAAAAAGTGACATGCAAATGGAAGATCTGGTGAATTAAATTAGACCATTAACCTTTCAAGAACATTAAACACATATTGTGTCCACAGGAAAATCGTAAAACCAGCTCAGCGAACCGTCGCAATGATGACACGAACAATGACACATTTCTTTGATTAGTAAACACTGTTTACACCCATAGGCATAAAAAAATATGAATTTAAAAGACTGAATTCTGCAAAATACTACAAGTACAATATACACTGCAAGGTGGTAACCTATAATTGATAGCTGTTTAACCCATTTTTTATATAACGTCAGTGATATTTAATAAGATTTTTGACTTGAATAAAACAAATTTAGATGTCGACATTTTTAGGTAAGCATTTTTTCAGTATATAATGTAAAACATAATTTAAATGAGTTAAGAAGACAGTAAAAAGATGACAGTGTTAGTCTTTTCAACAAAACATATTATGCTTCAGGTTCATTCAGATAGGTTACCCTTATGTATAAACACAATTTAAAATCCAGCCTCAAGAGAAAATACTACTTGAAGCCTGGATTAGAAATTAAGATGACAGCATAAAGCGTTTTTAACAATGCGTATTATGATGTAATAGCAAAATTGACAGGCTTTCCTACCTAGTTCACTGCAGTTGTCTCCGCTCTGAGAGGCATGTCCCCCGCTGGAGGGTCCTGGGGTGCCGACTGAGGGAGTAGAGTGAGCGTCGTCAATGTCTCTCCAGGATGCTGGATTCTGAGGTTCAGGTACATGAACATCCAGAGATCGAAGGGTGAAAAAAGAAGCACACATTAGTGATGCTAGCACATACACATGCTTTTTTTAAAACAGCAAGTTTTTTAACAGCTAGTTACCATGTCTGTGCTGAAATATTAGTCTGATCAAATTAAAGACAGCAAAAACGCACGATCCAGACAAACTAGGAATACTTTTCCGAACACTAGACCTATGGAGCCTCAACCAGGGTAACAGCTTCTCCTGATGTCCAACCGTAAATGCTCACAAGAAACCAGTGGCATCCCCTTTTTATCCAGAACAGGGTACAAAGCACTTAAGATGGGCTCAACATGAAGGCAAACAGCAGCCGTTCCTCTTCAGGCCCTTCGCGTCAGCTGTTTGCCTGATGGTGATCAGCTAAAGAGCTCTAAGAAAGGCCAGAATAAGCTCCTACAACAATAAAGCTGTGTGAATAAGACCCTTCACTGTTTTCTCATTAGGGCACACAAAGGCAGTCTGTGGGTTTGTGTGTTTAGGTGTGTGCGTCTGCAGTTAATAACGTTTCAGAAGGCCACTGTCTCCCTTCATCACCTAATTCAAATTGTTCCGTGTCACACCGCACACTTGTAAATCGATAAGACATTACAGGAGCATCAATAAAAGATTACAGTTATCGTCAAGTGTACAAAGGTACATATTCATCAAATAAATGTCAGCTGACCAAGTGAAGGTATGACGGTTAGACCTCAGCATCTGCGGTTCAGATCTATTTACAGGAATGGTGTGGATGGGGAAAGTCATCTCACGTTTTACATGATGGAAAATAGAAGGACTGTAATGTAGGAACTATTACGGGCGTTTAACGTCAGTTCAAATCATCTAAACGGCTGTTTTAAGCTGTATTTTTAATGTGGAGAAAACCTCTCTCTTCCCATTTTGACTTGGAACAGAACTAAGCAGAATGTAAAGTTCTGTTCTTCTTAATTCTGTGGTTTTGTTCCTGTGACAGGGGGTGGTGCGTTGATAATAGGAAGCACAACTGTAAAGAACACACTGTTGGTCTCCGAGTGAAAAAAAGACTCCCCTCCTGCTTGACAATAACAATCCAATCAGTTCAAAGACAATAGCGCATTCACGTGCAAATGTAACGTTGATCATTAGGGCTAACAGAGGGCTGGACAGTGGGGGGAAAACCCTGACCCTTAGCAACACCTGCACCCAACACGACGGGCTTCATCAACATGATCATCATCATCATACCTCTTCTAAAATAAGATGTGTCCTGGGGCAATGCCTTAATGATTCATATTAGTGCAAAGAGAAATGGATTTAGATAATGTTGTTTAAATAAATTAGCATATGGAACTAAGTAATTACTCCTCGTTCTTTCTTACTCTCTCTTTATGACCAAAATATATTGTGGAGATGAATAATGGAGGAAGCTAAAAAGACAAAAAGGCAAATGCATGGCTGAAGCACTACAAATGTTAAGGTTAAAATGCAAGTACAATACAAAATAAATGGCATTTGGACTTTCAGTCTTTTCTTTGTTGGAAACCTCACTAATGTTCCTTCACAAAATGCCTGGATTGCAAATGCAAACAGCTCCACTATTTAATTGGCCTGTTTTATGATCTCATAGAAAGCCAATTAAAACTCACGTGCTCTCCTAGATTTGTCGAGGATCCTGAGAGGTCGTCGAAGTCGGTCTTGCATCCATCCCGATCATCAATTACCAGGTCAATGGGCATTTTGCCCTTCAAACAGCTAATATACCGATGGCAGAAGTTGTCGCAAAGCTCGTGCACCTGATTCAAAACCGAAAAAAAAAATCAGTTTGTAAATTTGTTATTCGAACAATATAGGCTAAAATTATAATAATGCAACACGATAATAAAATAATTAACATACCTTTTCGAGTTCTAAAAGATGGAATCGTAATACTTGTATTGACTGTATCATCTAAGGAAAGAGTAAAATAATGCATGAAATATTTCAACAAAAATAGCAACATTAACAGCAACCAAAAATAATTAGCCTATAATAGTAACAATAATGATAATGGTTTAATAATAATAATAAGCTAATAAAAAACTTCAAACATCAAAACATCGTTGGTTATTCTATACGCGCGAGAAATCACAGTCGAATCAAAAACTTGGCACGTCTGATATTGTGTTGGCTTTGTAATGTTGTGACAATAGCAGAAGTGTAAATAGGCTCCTCTAGAGACGACGCTTTGAGGGAGCCCAGGGCAAAGACCCCCACGTCCTCTGATAGATAACACGCGGCCTCATAAATCACTAAAGCTTCCTTTCTTTCCCTCAAAGAATCCTCACATGGAGTTTTGAAGCGACTTTACCTGTAACAAAATCTGCGCAAAACGGCATCTCACACTTACCAAATTGTCCAACTCTGGATTAGAAGAAAATAAAGGCTTCTCTGCCCGAATCTGTAAAAAAAAAAAATGTCACAAGTTTGTTATAAGAAAAACACTCTTTTTTTTTTTTGTTTGTTTTTTTTAAACAAATACACCAAACGCAAACAACAGTTTTGGATTTTCCACCAATATTGAACTTAATCTGGATGACCAAACATTTATTTAAACCGTTAAAACATATTTATTTTCCAGTCAATAAGTTACCTGTTTGGCAAACACAGCGATGTCCTCGTTAAATGAATCGGATGAGCACACATCTCCTCCAGCGACTCCAGGCTCTCTCGGTGTGCATGTGGCCAGCTCGCACTTCTCAAACACCAGCGCCAGAAGCGGAAATAACGGGTGCCTTCAAGATTCAACATAAACGTTTGCATAAACTTACAGATCAAAACACTAGGCTATATCAATAACCGAGCAATCATTCTGACGACAGTATTGGAGTTTTATTGCTACTTTCATTGCTTTGACGGCCACATAGTTGCACTCGGTCAGACAGTGACTTAAAAGCGCTCTATACTTTTTATAATAAAAATTAAACATTATTTTAAACTTTAAAAAATGCCGCGCATTATTTACATGTCACAGGTGAACTGTTACTACGTGCTACTATCAGACACTATTCTTTAAGATCGTATATGCAAAGATTACATTTACTGACTGTGATAAAGTACAAATAATTGCATTGTCAAATGCAGTGCAATAATGCAGCACGCCATTTGAACAATTAAAGATTGTGTTGACTATTGTATTAAGCATGGCTGCAATAAAGTAGCTACCCATAAATTTGGTCCTTGTCTCTTTTAAGTGCGTCGTTGACAGCCGAGCCCATGCTGCTGGGCATGATGCTGTGCGGTGCGTGGGCCCCGTAGTGCTGGTTGGCATGTGGCGGTGGCCCGTGGTTCAAATGATGAACCTGCGGCAGGGGCCGAGGCGCGTGCGGATCCCCGTACATGGACGTCGGAACCCCAACTCCATCCATACCGCCACCATAGTGGGCAAGGTCTTCGTACTGCATCAGACAGAAACGGCATCATAGGCAACTCAAAAAAAACAAAAAAAAAACACACACGTGTTTACCTAATATAGCTTTATAGAAATATTAAAAACTAACTATGAGCAAACTTTACGACTTAAGTTGTTTACGCGGTGGATTTGTAAGAGAACGTACCCGTTGAGCCATCAGCATATGACGCTTCTGTTGATGTTAAATGCAAATTGTTATCTTATCCAACGAGGAAGCAATTTGAGTGATTTAATTCCTTTTGTGCATCCGGTTTAAGAGGACTGAGCTGTCGGTAATCCGTTGAGATGATAGAGCATGTCCTGTGAGGAGTTTCTGATCGCTTCCTTTTCAGCCACTTTTAGTTTTTGCGCAATTCGACCGTATTGCCAAACGCACTTTGACGGATAGACTATAGGTAAATATAGGTTACAAATATTTGCTTCCACTTAAACCTTCTGACTAACTAATGCGATTTATCCGTCACAGACTTCCTGAAGTCAGAAGAACCTTTCCAAATTCTGGGATGTTCGTGTCTGGCATGGCAAACACTGCGAGGAAAAACTATCCGGATCTCATGGTCCCTCGTTGCGACCCACGCTTTGCCTCGACTGGGATTGCGTTGGTGATTTGGAGCAGGTTCCTCTTGAAGAGACTGAACCCCTGATGACTGAGCCTGGGAAGCGTGGTGGGTGTTACCAGCTCGACACCTCTACATAAAGCAAGAGAAAGAAGAGCGCAATGACCACGAGCTGCCAGCGAGTGTTCACATTGGATACGCGCACAGATGACGCACCACCATCCTCTGCGTTTTGTTACTAGGGGTGGAGTGTCTTTATTTTTAAAAGTGCTAAAATCAGATCAGTGCACTGGGAATGGACCTTATTTCAACAAATTGCTGAGCATCACAGCATTTGAGCCTTTGAAAATATATTTACCACAGACTATACATTTGGACTGCTTCGTTAACTGTCCTTCAATACTTGGTTATTACATTTATACAGTGAAGTTAAATAAATAAGTTTACGTTTTTCATTTTATTTTTTGTTTGAGCTTTTGTAAGTATATTTGTAAATATGACTTAAAATGCAATACATAGATTAGATGTCTTGTTCTCTTTTAGTAACGCAATAAACTGTCTAAACATGCGTTCAGTTTCATGTTAAGCTATAGCTTTACGCTGTTTTTTATATATTGGTTTTTAAAAGAAACAATTGTTAAAAAACTGAATTTTAAATGGGAAACTATAAAACCCGTGCAGTTATACATCTTCCTCTTATTCCAAGCGCTTTTGCGCATAAATGACACTGAGGGAATTCTGCACGACTGTCTCATCATCATATTTAAACGCCTATAAAGGAAATGAGATCGACCGGGATGAAAAAAAACAAGCTAAACTGGTGTACAGAAACATTGAATTTGCTTTGCATTTGACAGTTTAAATTGACTTAGAATTGTAATTTTTATCATGTTGTTTTTAAGTTATTATTTATGGTTCAAAACAAATTGCCTCATATAGCCTATTAACAAAAGGAAAAAATAAAATACAAATAAAATTAGCACATATTTTAGAAATTATATTTATTTTATTTCAATATAAATTTTATCGGTGATATAAACAACAAATGTTACTTTTGGTCAAATTCTAAACAGCATTCCCCTTTAGTAAGCTATACACCCTTAGTTTTTAACTTGTGTAATATTTGTAAAATGGTATATTTTATTTTTCTTTCATTTGTTATATTAGTCTATGCTAGCATAGAATGCTGGCATTTGGGCATTTATTTCAATTTTTTTCCGAAAGCGTGTTATTGCGAGGATGCGCTGAAAAATAAGGTTAAAAGGTTTGTGAGTATTGTTTATGTAAGATGCATTTCTACAAACACACGCCGAGAGTAGCCTAACAAATACATTCCCATATACACGTTTGCAGTGCGGCATTATAACAATAACTTATTTTAATTTCATTTAGATTAATGGAATGGTGATAAGCGTCATCTTTAATATCAATGTCAGTCATTTAAGAAACATATTAACAATTTAAGAAATAAACAGCGTTTGCAACTAAAACAAGAACTTATTTGAATGATGTTTTTTAATTGTAATGAGGCTATTTTAATTGTAACTTTTTTTAAAAGAAAATCCTACATTTGTTCTGAACATTTTCAACACGATTTTTAAACTACCTTTAAATGTCAGTGTTCGTCGCCCATGTTGGTGTGATGATAATCCGCTTTAATTTCAAAAGTGTTGACCTTTTCTTGACCCGTCAGGATGTGTGCTTAAACCGCACGATACTTTTCTTCTAGTTCTTCAGATGCAGCGAGAGTCCTGGAAACCTGCCGCTGGGCTCCAGTTTCACGTATGCTGTGCTTTCCAGCACAACAATCAATTTCAAAGTCACTTTACCTTCTATCCCCACCTAGCGGTGCATCTGTCGTTGAAAACCACCGTGCAGAGACTGCACGAGGAGAACGAGTTCGCATTTGAATTCTCTCACTGGAGCCTCATGTCGATGGAAAACCAAACATATTTAACAAAAAAGCCATAGGCGATATTAGAGTTGAACATCACAAACGCAAACACGCTCAAACGCGTGGTGCATAGACAAGAAAATACAAAACGCGATCACAAAATAATAAATAAATATCAACCACATAAATAAAGCAAAATAAACATTGCGCGTACTTGAAAAAGACTCCGAAATAATTGCAAATGTGCACTTAAATGTTCCAAGGCATAGGATGAGAGAGCATTGCATGATGAGGTCGTTTATTTACTTTTCAGGAGAGATGGGAAAGTTCCTTCCTTTCATCAGTCTGTACATAATCTCGCGCGCCCTTCTTTGAAAAGCAGCGCGCGTGAATTATTAAAGGCATACATTTGAATTATAAATACGCTAATGATACCGACACGGGCTGAGCGCGCCATGCCCGAGGCTAAATTCTTCCGATGCACATTATTTCTTGGCACTCCTACTTCATTTCCTCTCTCCTTTCTCTTTCACTTCTCCTCCTCCTTTGTATTTCGCTCCCCGCTTACAGTATGCATGGAAGATGCTGACTGATTCATGCTGTCACCCGGCCTGCTTTAAACTGTAATGAGTTACCATAGTCTGAGCCTGTGTGCATCCTCAAAAACCTGGTTGCACAATTCTCCTGCCAGCCCCCCAAAACAAGCGCGCACACACACACACACACACACAGACACACACAGACACAGGCCTGGCAGAGAATCAGACATCATCCTCTGCTGTCCTGAACATCATTAGCGTTGTCAGGACAGGGTGAAGCGCACGCATGGCCCAAACTCTCCCTCTTTCTCTCCTTTGAGGCTGCTGATAAATATGTACATACTCGATATATGCATGTATATATGCAGGCCATGCACGCTTCAAAATAGGTATCCGGAAGGGATGACAATGTAGTGACCTGTATCTCACACGCTGCACATGTGGAACAAGATTTATTGAGCACTGTCATTTTGCTGGCAGGATGCGGTGTGTGCACATCCAGTGTGTCTTCTGCAAGAGAGTACAGGAGCAGCCCTGTACAAACATCACAATGTGTGCAGGACTGGGGGAGTAAAGCCAGCGCATTCCAGCTCAATGACTTACAGCGCATGTGCTGACAGCCTGACCTCACCAAAAAGAGATTCTCTCCAGCCTCTCATAAAGAAGCCTTATCCTCCCTCCAAAAAAGGGGGAAAGAATGCCTTGTTCCCTAATGCTTTAATATTAGTTTTTCTCCGTACGTTTGGACCCCAGTTGTTTCCATTATGACTGTAGGTGACCCAGAACACTGAAATAATCTTGAGGGTATATTAATTCACTAAGAATGCCGAACTTTGATGCAGTTTAGATCACAGGCATGTATAATAAAGCATCCAAGAACATCTGTGATTAAATGAACACCTTTTCACACTCCATCAATGTGTTCATTAAAGGTAATTTTTGGGACGTTAAAATAGTTAAATATGGAGAGACCAGGCGTAAGGAAGCCATATGTAGGTTGAGCGCTGAAAACTGTAAACACTCAATGAAAAGACTAGTAAATTTCACTAGTAATTACAAAGAAATGGCAAGCAACACATTGAATTAAACATGAAATGTTTATGAAATACTGAAATAGTATTTTCTTGTAAAACATACTCCAATAATCTTTTGAAGAAAAAAAATAAATAATTTTGTGCAGTGCTGTTGGTCTGTTGTGCTATAAAAATGATCATGTTTGTGTAAGCATCCGACCAGTAACAGACCAATGGTGGGACTATCTGTTTAACTGACCAATGACAGAATATTTGATCAGAAACCTGTATGGAAAACAGTCATTATTTTTTTTAGCTAGTGATAAAATAAATTTATTTTAAAATGGATTTTGAAGGTTGAAGGTTGAATAAAACATTTGTAAACCTAATAGAAAAGGAACTGGCAATTTTCTGCAAGAACATTCATTCATTCATTCATGTATGTGTGTTATTTATGTATTTATTTTAGTGTTGGCGATTAATCACATCCAAAATAAAAGACTGTGTTTACATAATCTACAGTATGTGTACTGTGTTTTGCAACTGTACAAACAATCACAGCTTATTTATTTAATTTGATTTATTTTTTTTTTTATTTTTTTTTTCTTAAATATACACCTGTATGTGTATGTATTTATAAATATGCAGAGTACACACACATATATTATGTAAACACATTTTGGATGCAATTAATTGTGATTAATAGATTCGACAGCACTAATTTAATTTTTTTTATTTCAGTGTAAAAAACACTAACACCTTTTTACTACTTTTAAGGTGAAACAACACACTTCACTTTTATATTACGAGTATTAGAAAAAGAAAGAAAGAAAGAAATTATTTGTTTTTCAAATTATTATTTTTTCTTATAGTATACAGAAAAAACACAAATAAAAGCACTACAATAAATAACTTATAAAATAAACAAATAATAAAAACGAAAGAAAGAAAGAAAGAAAGAAAGAAAAAATGTGGTTCATGCACTGGAAATTTCAGGGAAAAAAGAACCACTGCTGTTAAATGAATCCTTCCATCTGTAGAAATAAGGAAATGGGGAAACAAAGTAGTGAAAAAGGACTGGATTTTCATCTGCTGAGAGAGATATGAGGGAGTGGAGACCATTGCCATTATTCAGCCTCATGATCTGTGATAAATCAAATTGTTAATGAAAACCATATACCCTATTAATCATCACTGTAATCAATCCAGTGCATGTGATTAGTCCTTTCCCTCCGTCTGCCCCGCACAAAGGAGCAGAGTTCATCTCTCTCCCTCTCTCTCTTTCTCTCAGGATTGTAGGAACACATGTGTGTGGATGAGAGGGAGAGATGTTAGAAAAGATAAAAAGACAGAGTAGATCATGGTACATTTTAAGTCATAACAATCTCAGGGCCATTCTAAAGTAACTGTATTTTGTACAGTAAATGGTTCACACAGGGAGGTGAAATACAATGAAGAACACTATAATTCTGTTTGGTAATTATGCACAGAAACACCCAGACAAGCGTGTGTGTGTGTGTGTGTGTGTGTGTGTGTGTGTGTGTGTCTGGGTGGTAGCATTAATGTGTGGAGATTTCATTTCTGAAGAGTGATTATTTGATTGTTCATTTTGCTGAGATTTATAGCGTGTTGACTATCTGCAGCCTGCATCTCCTCTCTGGTCTTTAATAATAGGAAATTAAGACACTAATCACCCTCATCCACTGGAGGACATGTAACTACGGTGTATCAAACCTCAACCAACCAAATGCACAGTCCATTAAATATATACGGCTGCATTTATTTGATCTAAAAAAGTGTAATATCGTTACAATTTAAAATAACTCTTTTCCTTTTCAATATATCCTAAAATGTAATTTATTAATTTCATGCAAAGTTGAATACTCAGCATCATTACCCCAGTCTTCAGCGTCACTTGATTCGTCAGAAATCATTCTAATATGTCTAATATTCTAATATTCTAACATTCATTTGTATTATCAATATTAAAAGCTGTTGTGCTTAATATGCTTAATATTTTTTTTTTAAATATTGTGATATTGTCACAGTGAAAACTGATACACTACCATTCAAAATTCAAAATTTAAATAATAATAATAATAACAACAGCAATAATAATAATACTACTTATTTAATGATATATACACGTTGAATATAACTTATAATGTATACTGTATATATGTGTGTGTGTGTGTGTTATATAATGAAATAAAACTAAAGTCAAATTTCATCACTTTTATTCATACACAATTTATTCTTGTCTACATTTGTAAATTGTTCATTTTTATATTTAAGCATACACCTTAAAATTAGAAGGTTTTCTAACTCAAGCATGACATATATATATATATATATATTTTAAATATATTTACTTAACTTGTAGTATATGCACATAATAAATCAATAGATATCTCAGTTAGTCAGATATCTCATGAGGATCTAAATAAATCCAAATAAATCTGAATGAAAGGATAAAATTAAAACAGGGGAATAGTAGCATTGCTATTTTAAAACTTCTATTACCACTACTTCCTTTAAATACTTTCTCTTTTCCATCATCCCTCTTCATCCCAGAAGATCAGATATTCAGATATTATTAAAAATGTAGTTTGTTCAAGTCTCACAGTGCCGTGGTATCCTGTGAAAAATATTTTACAAGATTTGGTCAGTTATGTATCATAAAAGCACAGTACAGATGGCTGACTGTGATTATTATTACATCAGCCTGGAAGTAATAATTTAATAATGTGCTCTACTGACAGCCCCGAATGAAGCGCACAAAGATGGATTTTTAAAAAGTAAGAAGCATGGGAAAACACAAAAACAAAATGTATGATTTAGAAAGGTCAGAAACGCTCACAGGAGTCACACCAACTTATGCTATCATTAAAATCAAAGATGTTAATAAAGCACAACCATACATGAGTTATGCATTAGGCCTACTGTCACCTCTCATGAGCTCCTGATTTGTCAATTCAAAGGTAACATTGTTCGGTCATTTATGAAGATGAGGAGACTGACTGGGTCATGGAGGCTCTTGAGGACCATCCCAATCATCAACATGACACAAGTCCTGCTCAGCAAAGCTGGTCACGTGCTTTTGTTACTGCGTTTTAATAATTCCTTGTTAGCGTTCTTAAACCAATTTCTCTGAAGAAAGTAGGTCATTCAAGTATTTGTTCATTTGCAAGTGTGTTTGCATGCAGTAAAATAACTGTGTGAGGAGCAAGGCAAGTTATATATGCGAAAATGTCAAGTTCGTTCAATATGTCCTTTGTAAACTTTCACTTACGTGAGGAATCACATAAGCGCAACTCTAAA